GATTGACTGATGAAATCTAGTCCAATAACATAGAAGAACGCAAGAGAATAACACCAACAAAAATGAGAAGATCTTTATTATTCAACAACTGAACGAAAATAACCGACAAGTCGGGTTAAATATTTAGAAAATAATAATTTTTGGAATTTTACCAAAAATAGCAAAATTCTATTATTCATACCAAAAGGAAATACTTAATGACGGAAATAAGATCTCAAAAATCTGGCTTAATTTGAGATCNACGGAAATAAGATCTCAAAAATCTGGCTTAATTTGAGATCGTAATCTATGTTAAAAAGGAGATTGGAATATTACTAAAAATAGAAAAAAATAACTTAAATTGACGATTCGGAAGGAAAAACAGCTGAATTTGGCCTCGAAAAAAATGTACACCGAGCATAGTTGGGTGATCACAATGTGCGCTCCGAAAAGAGCTTTCCGAATTGGGGTCATGAGCATGATTCTGACAACCGTAGCCAAAGTTATGGCCAAAATACCGAAACGTGTCAAAAAAGGCCCCAATTAGGAAATGTCGATGATTCTTTGCTATTTTTGCGCTGATCCGCCAACTCATGGTATCTCAGCGCCATTAACATACTATCAGATAGCTCGGCCTCCTTTGACTCGGATCCTCTTGCATCATCAATCCAAATAGATCTACCAAAAATTGAACCCTAGCCTAAACCAGAACAAAAACTCTTCCAACTGAACCACTATACAAATTTACTGACCACAATAAAGACCTAAAACACTATATAATAGTTACAACAATTTCTTGTCACGTGATCTGATTACAGATTGCTGAATTGGAACATAAAATGAAAAAGAAGGAATATATGTCAGGAAGAAGACTCCTGAATCTTAGAGAGAGAGACCAGAAAATCAATAGAGTGAATAATAATAATCCAAATTTCTAGTCTCACATCCAAATGGGTGTTTGATTTAATCTCAGCCATTGAATAACGTCTACGGTCCAGATTCTTCATAAAGAAGCACAATTCATGTTAACACCAATCAGTTAATCAGGAATGGTCACATAACTCCACTAATCCAACTAGACAGCCAAGGGTTAAGAAAAGATTTTATACTCTTAAAAACATGATTTGAGAAACTCCATTTTACAATCTTCACCATGGTTTTAAAACTACCCATCATTTCTAGTTGCTACATTGCAAGTGACCGTAATTACCCTATATCACTGCCCAGGTACCTGCAAAAAATTAACAAATGTCACTATGGAAAAGTGATCAACATGATCTGAATTTACCAACAGATAGAATTTTAATGCCTATATCAAATGGATTAACATTAGTATGAATTTTTTCAAGAAAAAGATCACAAGATGATAATTTTTCCTGGAACTTCACCTCAATGTGTTTATGTTGACCTATAATTCAATATAACTCCACTTGTTTTGATTCTAACAAACAAATCACTTATATTTCTAACAAGTTTTGTTTCTTGAATTTTTCATGAATATATCTTTTTAAGCATTCAAGGACCAAAATCGTCATCTGCTGAAGAACAATCAATAAAATGAGACTCGAAGAGAACAAAAACAAGAACTTTGGAGATTAAAGTTTAGAAATAGTCTATCGGAACTTAAATGTAAATGTACTAACTCATCGATTCTTAACAAGTACATAAAGCTCAAATTATTTTCATAATTCATCACTTGCATAAAAATATTTTTTGATTCATAATATGAAATAGATTTTGGAAAAATGAATATTTTGATATAAAAAAATTAATTTGCAAAATTC